CGCCGCTCGGGCTGACCCGCGCAGAAACTTTCTGACACAACAAATGGCTTATTCTTGCAGACCTTAACCGTCGGCCGTTGTTTACCGGTCTTAAGCGTACAGTTTCTGTCCAACTGTCGGGACATTCAAAGTACAAGTGATTTAACATACAATGTATAGCTCAAGACACTTATAGACAGTAGACTTACCACCGATATGTATACACTCATGAGATCGTATAGAGAGCAACAGCCGGCTTCGGCCAATGGTATGGCTCCCGCTGTGGTCGACGCCCATCTTTTTCCCCGCAAACACGCCGTTAGATACGGTAAAACTGTACTATTCATGCGATCGGTGAACACTTTGTCGCACTCGTAGTAATTGCCAAATGCGCCCAAATCGGGGCCAGAGGTGTGCGGATCGGCGCCAACACTACCGCCGATGAGTATCGCGAGTATAGCTATGAGAGTGCAGAGCATTGTCTCAGTTGTCACAACACTTGTGCTCTTCAATAGAGTTATCACTGAATTAATGGATCGGATCTATGGATGTGTTCAACAAATAAGATGTAATTAGTATTCAGTTATGTTTTCTATTTAGAAATTTTCAAATAATTATTTTATAATTTTATAATTCACGCGAATTTTTATGTTATTGTTTTGTTTTAATTGTTTTGTAGAAATAGTTATAAAATTACAATCACTTAAAAATCATTTTATATTTAATAAACAGACATAAATGCTATAAAAATCTTATTTAAAATCTATAGTAAAATTCAAAACTAAATTAAAACACAACACAATATATTTGCATTTTAAAACTTAAACACTAAAAAATACTATTTATAAAAACAAATACAACTTTTAAGTAAAATACAAAATAATAATTTGATATTAATTTATAAACAAAATAATTGATTGCAATAAAAGATTGAATTTTACGTCTAATAACGAAAACACTAATGAAATTGCGGACAAAAACCATAGACATCTCCGGCTATCGACACCACTATTGCCGCCAATAATACGAAAACTGCGACCGACGAAAAGTCAATCGGTTAACCGTTTGGACAACACTAATTGAAATGATAGTGAACACAAATAATACATACAATTAAAGGCAAAAATATTGTAATATGCAAATTAATGATAAATTTAGTTCACAGAAACAACAATACAACACCTCTGGAGTGATCGCTCGGTGCTTTCACTATAGGTTTAGCAGTTTATCAATGGTTTAATACTAATTGAATGTATTGTCAATTAAAACAATAATTTTTATAAATTCGCGTGAATTTCAAAATTGATAAAAAACATTAATTACTAAACAAAAAGTCATTTTAAAGTGAAATACAATTTGCAAATAATTGTCTGTAAAATTAGTGCCAATGATCTTCACTCTCATCGCAATCATATGTGTGGCCATCACTGGCACAGCGGGTGCGGACTCGACCACCGGTGCTCGTAATGGCGGTCAATCGGGAATGCCTGTGGGATTCACTGACAGTACTTATGGCTACAGTTGCTCCAAAGGGGTCGACGACTACATGAACGCCAAAGTGATGCCCGAATTGGAACGTTGTTTACTCGAGAGGTGGGCCACAGGACCCGACTTTTTATTAGTCTGTTGTCGTTATTATGAAATGAATGGCATCGTTATGGAACAGGTATAGGCTGGCCAACTGTCCACTATTTGAGTGGACAGTCCACTATTTTGGGTTTGTGTCCACTAAGAATTGAGACCAAATAGTGGACATTGAATTACCCAATATTCAATTTTTAGATATTTCAAAGAATTTTGATAAAAACAACGATAATGATTATAAAATATTGTTATTTTCTTATTAATAATGAAATAATTTATTATTAATAGGTACTAATAATGTTCACACATTAGTGTACATATTGGAATATATAATTGTTTATAAATTATATCGTTGTTTATAAATATATATATTTATCAACCAGTTATGGAAGCTAAGATTGACCTAAAAATAGAGCAAAAATATGTCCACTATTTGTCCACTATTTTAGAGGAAAATATTGCAATTGTCCACTATTGAACATTTTTGAGTTGGCCAGCCTAAACAGGTATGTACTGTTCAATCGCCGTGTGTTATACACTGTATATCTTATTCATTACTATCACTGTATTGAACGGTGGGTTAGATTCGCAACAATTGCACTAAAATTGAGGACAAAAACTTTGAAGAGGGTATTAATCTCGTGTGTCACAGTGATCTAAATGGCCAACAATTGGACGATAAGTTTTGCAATGGTCTGAAAGGCAGGCGTGAGATGAGCCCATATTGTAAGAAACTTATCGACGAATTGATGCCGACTGCCGACGCCCACTCTGACCGCCCGTCCACTCCTGTGTCGGTATTATTGGCGGCGATTGTGGTGTCGATAGCCGGAGATGTCTATTCATTTTAACACTCAATTCAAACCATCATTTCATCCGCTATTTTATATCTAAATTGTTATCACATTTTGTATTGTATTTTACTGTTTTATAATTAAATTTTTGAAAGAAGTAATAGATTTTTATATGTGTTTGAATTCATTGAGATTTATTTATGCAATATTTTAATAAAATAACTGCAAAGAAATTTAATGGAGTTTAACTGTTATTAATAACTTATTACACAAAATATGCGACATTTTTGCTGTAAAAATAAAGTAAAAGTCATTAAATGAGAGAATAATACAAAACTATTCAAACAAAACACACAAACAGTAACTAAAAAACAATGGTTTTTAATTATAAATATAGTTAAACTAACAGTAAGTTTGTTGAAGAGATTGTCAACAAACCCCAGACCACCGGTGCTGACCATCACATCCCACACATAACAGCACTAAACATATTGAGTGACCGATCAGTGCTCTCGCCGTATGTTTGCATTTCATCACTAGTTTTAAAAGTTTTATTATTTTGTGTTTTGGATTTGATTTGGTTTTGCTGTATTATTTTATTATGATTTAACCTAGCGATTACACACTTATTCCCCTCCTTACTGTAACATTCTTGGCTGAAAATCCTGCCAGCACAAATAAATGCAGTTATGCCTGATTTACAGGGGATGTAGATGGCAGTTAAATAGAGAGCATTACTCAATGTGTAGTGTTTGTATAGGTTTGTGTGCATAGTGTGTGCAGTGGTATATAGTCACACGCATTAGGCCTTCTTGGCTGGATTCTCTGCAAACTTTGGCGCTCAATTTATGTGGAGTTCAATCATAGCCTTATATGCAGTGACGCGCGCACACTGAAGGTACAGATATAAAGTGCTATACATTTAAGACATTGTGGCTGACTTTTTAGCCAACATTTTGTGTTCAATGAAAACGCATTTATAGAGTACTAAAATTGTGCTGATTGGGCGCTAATGGGTAAAACAGTTTATGCATGTATTTATAATTAAAAACAATAATTAATTTTTATTTTAATGAACATGTATTCAAATTAAAAGTGTTTAATTAGCATTTATGCATAAAATACAAATAATTGTATAATGAAATTAAAGCGTATTTCTAAACACTATAACAGTTAATAAATTGGAATTTCCTTAATTAATTGTGTATTTTCTAATTTATATAAGATGAATTAAATTAATGTGATTTAGTTTTTGTTGATTGCGATGTGCTTATATTTGAAGTAAATAAATCATCATCACTGCCATCAGTAATGTTTTCAAAACTTTGTTCAATATCTGTTGAATGATTTGAGACTTTTATTTTTTCACAATCTTCATCACTAGCAATATTTTGAGCACTTTCATCAATTAGCAGATCCTCGAGTTGTCGTCGAATTAATATGTTTTTACGACTCATTATTATCATTTTGAATTTATTCAATAAATTTTTCATAAAATTCAAATCCGATATCCTTAATTAATTAAGGATATCGGATTTGATATTGTTTTAAATTATTTATAATTATAATTAAAAAAAATAACACTTTAGTTCATATTTGATTTGTTGTGCATTTGTTTATAAATGGCTGTCACTTAGCCCACAAACAACTAATAATGAGAACTTACTATCAATGCATTGAGAGCCAAACCTAACATTTATTGTTTAGCATTTGATTGCATTGTACATATAATCCTGTACATTGCTTGAGTACACTAAACATGCGTTTGCATTGAACACAAAATGTTGGCTAAAAAGTCAGCCACAATGCTTTAAATGTATAGCACTTTATATCTGTACCTTCAGTGTGCGCGCGTCACTGCATATAAGGCTATGATTGAACTCTACATAAATTGAGCGCCAAAGTTGGCAGAGAATCCAGCCAAGAAGGCCTAATGCGAACATCATTATACCACTACACACACTATGCACACATACGTCTGTATTGATCCCAAAGTAATGATATAAACACAGTATTATACATCGCCACTCAATTGTAGAGTAAACACCACTGAATAGCCACTGCAGTGAAGATGAACAAATAGTGTGTAGATTGAAGCGCCACTCCGTTAGAACTAAAAATGCACTGATTTGTTAAGGATTGAAAATGTTAATCGTTTGACATACTGGCAGGATTTCTAAAGTGACCTCTGTTCAACAATTAATTACTCGGACACTAGACATGTAAATGAAGTTTTGTTTAATCTATAAATTGCTCAAAAGTTTGGTTGAGGCATTCCTAGAGTTTTTTAAGTGTGACTCTTAAGACTGATTTTTAAGAAGAGTTTTAGATGTCATTTATAAAAAGTCAGCCAAGAAGTTGATCGCTAGGTTAAGTTTTTTATTTATCCAAAATTCTGGCCTTATTATAACTGGTGATTACCCGTCCCCTCCCTGTTCTATCAGTGCATTGTTTTATGCAATTTGCGTGAATTTATTGAAAGTGTAATTAAGTGAAACAACTATTCATATAAATTTATCTGAATTTGTAAATTGTTTGAAAATGAATTATTTATATGGGTTGTGTTGTGTTTGCAATTTTAAAATATACAATAAAAACAAAGAAATACAAATAATCAAATGAAATGATATCTTGAATTACATATCAAAAGTCATAGACATCTCCGGCTATCGACACCACAATCGCCGCCAATAATACGGAAACTGCGGTCGACTGCGGGTTAGGTCTGGCAGTGGATGACTGGTTGGGACCGGAATGCTGTGGCGGACGGACACTAACACTGGGCGTCGGGTAGGGATTGATACCTTTGGCCAGACTGTCAACGATATGGTCGCAGTCGGCGCCCATCGGTAGCCGACCGGACAGACCGTTGCAAAAGCTATCACTCAATGGATGTCCTTTTTTGTTGATGCAAATGGATTTCAGCGGTTTATCACTGATGTCTGGTTTGCCCTCATCTTTACGACAATGTTTGTGAACCTAACCATACATTCACCCAATGGTTGTGTTAATACATATTAAAGCATACATTTATACAATGAATAGCATATATGGACAGAACATACCAGTGTCTTAACCCTCGTAATCAAAGCAACACGATTTGGCCGACCAGTTGCGGAGATCGTCCCTGGTCAGATTTAACTTTTTCAAATTATGTCCAAATTTGAAAATATTTTCAGAATAATATTCCTCTTATCCATACCTTTCTATCAATATATAACATTGATAAGCAACAGTCACAAATGTACTATAATCAATTTTACCTAACACTGGCCGTAGTGACCACTTTTATCGGCAAAATTTTTAAAATCAAATCTTTTAATTTATGAATAATTATATCATATTATATATCGATGTTGTAATCTTATATTTAGTTTTAATGCAATTTTCTGTATTATCCTCAATATTATTAATATATTTTATAAATTCATTAAATATTAAATTATGGGAAACCGAAATTTAAAATTATGATTTTTTCCAACACTAATGTGACTCCAAACATACCAGGCAGATTCAATTAAGGGCTTGCATCCTAGTTACGAACAGCCCAAATTTAAAACAATGAATAAAAATATAAACACTATATTTGTATAGTTTAAGAAAATATACAAAATTAATTGATAATTTAAACAAAACTCAACCATTGAAATGAAAAACAAAATATAGCAAATAATATGGGCTCAAAATAATAGATCAAATGATGAATTGAAATGTATCTCAAAACGTATAGACATCTCCGGCTATCGACACCACAATTGCCTCCAATAAAAACATATAATAAGTGCCCAAATGTTGAGGTCTGGCGGCGGTCATCGGGCGCCTAATGGGCTATCAGGGGCTCACTATCAATGTCTTGATGGTCTATCTCTATCCTATTAACAATATCAATATCATTTATTTAGGCAAATCTATTATAATTATTTAATTGTTACAAATATAACATTAATTTTAATAAGTCAATTAATTACCGATTTTGTTGCATAAGTATTTGGCGAAAGTAATTATTAATAAATTTATAATTAGTAAACTGTGCAATAAATAGTGGAATTCTCAACTTAATAGCAGTTTTCATTGCAGAGATTATATTAGTGTTTATTTTGTTGCAATTTTGGCCAAAAATATTATTGAATTCATTTATTATATCGTTTATATCTTTATCACTATTTGTATTATGCAATTCATAAATAAATCCTTGTATTTGATCGACATTTACACCAAAGTTATTAAATACAAATGCCTTGTAATCAACGTCTTTGTACTCATTCCTATAAAATACATAAATAAGTTATAATAAATGTTACAACAATTAATATTTACCTAATATGTTTTAATTGTATTTCAAACAATGTAGTGGCAATTTCTCCAATTTTATTAATTAAATTCTTATTTACTTTTGTTGTATTGTTTGTAGTTTCAAAATATTTATAATAATCATAGGATAACATCATGTAATTGTCATCAATTATTTTATCATTATTTATAAATATGTATTTAGTATTGAGTAAAATGTTTTCAATATTAATATCCAATGCAATCAATTCTTGAGTACATTGTAATAATTGTCTCAACAATTGCTGTGAAATAAGGAAATCAATTGAAATCATTGCCAACGAGTGATGGGTTTGTGTCCCAAATATCACATGTTTTGCATTTATGACATCCCATAGAGTTTGCGAACAAAACTCCGTTTGAATGTAAATCTCGTTGTTTTCAATCAAAGAGTTATATATTTGAAGCAAATATCGAGGTTTGACTTCAAATATTTTCTTTATATTTGTCACAAATTGTTTTAATTCTTTAATATCATCTATAAATACAAGAATAACATAAATGTTAGATTTTAAATGAAACCAATTTTATTATTGTATACTTTTATAATATAATTATGAATATATTATGATATATTGTATGTTAATACATAATTAGCATTAACATTAATAACGTATAAATTATACTTATAATTATATAATTAAATATAACAATACTTACAATGAGTATCATATTTGAATATATAGTAAAATTCATTATTTACGAGATGTTTTACTTTAACAAGTTTTTCAAAAGTAAACATATTAGTCAATTGATTTCCATATGATTCAATGGTCGGTGAAATTTCTGTAATAATATAAATAAATTGTATAAAATATAATAATAAATGTTTATTCACTTACCATTATTTCTGTCAAATGTTTGACAAATAACACAAAACTTATGGATATTAATAAAAAATTTTGAAAACAAGGCAAGCTTGTTATTAATTATCTTAATAAATAATAAATCATTTTTCTCGACAATCGGTTCAATCGATAAATAATTTAATTCGTTTAAAATATCCAAACATTCGGGTCTTTCTTTCCAATCATTGTCTGTATATATACTAACACTCATTGATAGCAATAATTGGTATATTTTTGATAATTTATTTGCAATCTTTAAATTATCATTATTTATAAAATTGAAATCCAATCTAAAAATATAGATTATATTATAATATAAATAAATTAGTGTTAAATATATTATATTGTTTAAAATTAATATTTAAAATTGAATGAACTTTACATTCCGTCTCTGATATCGTCGGAATCAAAACCAAATATTTTCGCTCCAATGAGTGCCAGACTATAGACATCTATTAAATGGTTGTATTCAGTGGTCAGTCCTTCGGGTGCCATATAATTAACATTGTCTATGAAATCAGGTGTGTTTTTACTGTTACTTTGTTTGTAGTGTTCACTCAATACATCCACTTCTTTAGATAAACCAAAATCACATAACTTTATATATCTATAATTTCTGTCAGAATAAATGTTACAATTTTTTTCAAACAAAATATTATCGGGTTTGAGGTCTCTGTGAATGATATTATTTTTATGCAAATACTCCACACTTTCCACCAATTGTTTGAATAATTCATATGATATATAATATTCAAATTCAGTCATTATTTTCCCAAATAATTCTTTCTTAGCTTTTAAAATATGTGTTAAATTTCCGGCCAAACAATCCATTTGAATGTATAAACAGTTGTTTTGAATCCATGAATAGTAGTATTGAATGACATATTTTGAGCGCAATTTTATCAAGTTTTCCGTTTCGTTCAAAACATTTTGTTTCTGTTTTTCATTCAAATCTATATAAAATTAGAATTAAATTAATTAATATATAATAATTAAAACAACTAAAAGAACACTCATTAGTAATTACGATTTAGTGGACATTTTTTAATTGCATATTTGTTGCCATTTAGAGTATTATTGACTTTAAATACTTGTCCAAAACCACCGGTTCCCAAATTTTTCAGTTTTTCATACATTATTATGTTATCTATTGTACGACTCATTTCTAATAAATTTTATAAAAATAATTTAAAATTTTTCATTTTTAAAATATAAAGCATAATTGCATTTATATTTCTTACCATGATGTTTTATTTGTAATAATGGTTTTGTAATATCAATCGTATTATAAGTCACTTGATGTACATTCGCGCAGAAATCATCAAATGTTGTATATTTTGTTTCAAACCAATCATTATTATGATTCAAATAAAAATCTCTAATATACTCATAAACTTTATTACCACTAATTCCAACAATATAATCAAAGCCATATGTTCTAACATGACCAAGATTAGTAAATTTTAAATTGTTAATCTTTGAAACTATCAACTTAGTTTTCATATCGTACTTGTAAACATGATAATCATTTAATAAAATTATTAATTCAGTGTCGTTTATTTGATTAATGATTTTTATGTTATTAACATTTTCTAGCAATTGAGGTAAATCGTTAATTGTATTGTTACTTATCTTATCCCATATAAACGCCTCCCCATTGGATGTAATGGCAAATGAGTTAATATAAGTGCACATAATGTCCACAATTTTATATTCAACGGGAAATTGTATTTCAATTGGTTTTTGCGTTTCCAATGAATTATATCTCCATTGAAATACCCGTCCGTCAGATATCAACACAATTATTCTCCATTGAAAACATGATATTTTCTCAATTCTTACATTGTGTGAATTACATGACAGTATTGTATGGGGTTTATGAACAGTTTTGTTCAATAATGGTCTAAATAAACCCCACGAGAATAACTGTTGGTCGCTATTTACAGCCAACCCAATGAATATTGTATTGAAAAATTGCTGTATATTTTGATGACTTAATTCCGGTATTTCTATGGGTGTATGTATGGGTCGGTTGTGTCCCAACCCTAACAATCCATTCTCATTGCTGCCCAACCCATACACCCGGTCGCTAGTCGTCACAAATAAAATGTTTTTACCTTTCTTACTCCCGTGACCATTATTACTTATCTTTTTCCCGTGAATATTATTACCATAATCGTTAAAAACGTAAAATAATTTAATTTGTTGCTTTAATTCTTTAGGAATTTTGTCGCAAATTTCAAACTTTTTCAAACTTTTCGACATTGTTAAATGTTTAAATTGTTAGAACATGTTAGTTTATATGCAGCAAAATTACGCCTCTTTCTTAATGATTATTTCATTTATTTATTACAAAAATTCCTTATTTTAATTGCTTCATACACTAATTTATTATGCTAAATATGGTCATAACATTAGTTTTCTTTTATGTGTTATGCCGTTATGTGTTTATTACTGTAAATGCAGATTATATACATGTTTTGAACTAAAATTCGTGTGAATAAATGTTTATACGTAATGTAATAAATGCTGATTATTATCAGTACTTTATGGCAAAATTTTTACATTTACAAATTACAAAATTTATTTGCAGCTTTAATTCTTTAGGAATTTTGTCACAAATTTCAAATTTTTTCATTTTTTAGCCATTAGTAAATGTTTAAATTATTATTAAAACATGTTGCTTTATATGCTAAGTTGGAAATATGCCTGGCGTAAATAGTCGAATTCCGACGGGATTGATATGGTTGTGTCCAGTACAATTAGTAGATGTGTATTCTGTGGTCTAAACCTGCGAATGGCCACAAACACCAAATTTATGGCCAAATTTCAAACCATTTGCAAAGGCTTTATAACGTTATAATTTTAGTGAATTGCATTACTTAT